TCTTTGGAAGTATAAACTCTTCATATTTTTATTTTGTTTAATATTCAGATGATTCCAACAAATTGCGTACAAAATTTCTTCAAAATCCGAAATATTCGACTCCGAACTTATTTGACTTGGATAGTCAAACATTCAGCAAAACAGTTTGTTCACAGTTGTCTAAATCTTGAATCGGGATGTTATTAATAAAAAAAACAAATGTAACTATTTTTGAGTGTGGATTACGCTACATTTGTATTAATTTTTGTATACTAGTATTATAACTCATACAACAGCAGAAAATTTTGAAAAATACCCTATTACTTTATCGGGAACTTGACTTTTTGTCAATTTCTTCGGGTAACCTATTGACACTGCAGATTTGAAAAAAAAAACAAAAACGTTTAGTCTGTGCAAGTGATAAAAGACTTATATTGATGGAGGATACATAGAAGACATTTTAGACACCAGTTCAAGGTTATGTTCTAGATATTGGTATAACAAAAAGGAGACATTTGATAGAGAATGCTTTGATCTCATCACATTAAGAATATTGTATGCCAAGTTACTTGTACGCTGTTAAAAATATTATACTTGATTGGGTTTTGAAGTTGCTCTAATGTAGGCTGGACATAATACTCAATTCCGGTAATTTCGTGTGCCTTAAAGTTCAATGAACGGACTCTGGACGGATAAAAAACCGGTGAGCATCGTATATTTAGTTGTTGTCTTATCGGCATGATATTAGTATTAATGTATTCTTGCCCTCTGTGGACAACTTTAAAAGTTAACAGATTAGCACAACTTTTTATCAATGCATCTACGAATTTGTTCTATTATTTCGTTTAATAACTTTTACATAATGTTCCGTTCCCGTCTCGGGACGTTTCTTGAATAGTCAGAGACATACACAAATCGAGCCGACCGTGCGAATGCTTTATCGTCAGTTAAGGTAGTTAAACACACCAGTCATCATCTACAAATCGAAACGTTTTCAGGACGTGACCTTTGTTTAACCAGACTGGATGCTCCGACTAACTGGTCATGGATGAGTGCCGAATCAAGCACATGTTGTATAATATGCCTAGGTGCGACCATTTGATCTTCTGAGGAGATTTTTTTTCCGAATTGAATATTCGTTTGTATTTCTTGCTAGTACAACTTATTTGCATTCACAATTATTTCCTGCATTGTCCTGCATTTTGTTGGACAAAACTTTTTCATTTTTACACCACCTTTGGCAAAGTTAATAACAATGCCAGAATATTCATTTCCCCATTCTCCACCCTCAGAATATCAAATGGTCATCACCTAAGAACTTGAATTCGTTGACCATCAAAGGCATCCATGACTTCGTTTTGGCTGTGGCTGCACCTGCGCTGGTGCATAAGTTTACCAAGGAATGGTTTACTTCCAAAATATATAATTAAATTTTCATTTTCAATACTGCGTAACTCGAAGAAAAAATAAGACAAGAAAATTGTGTACTTATAAAATTATAATTAAAAATATGCCTATTTTAATTAACACGCTCTCGCAGCGCTTTTCTGGATTAACATTCATCATATATGCTCAAAACCAAATATATAAATGCCATGGATGTATTAGAAGCGACCTTTATGACTAAAAGTTAAAAGATAAAATGCAAATCCAAATACGAACAACTTGAATTGCCTTATTGAAATTATCAGCAATATGAAACTAAGAAGATTTGGTATGATTACAACAGAGACAATTATCCACCAGAGACCAAATGACATAGATGTAAGAAACGGTAAACCACCGGACGTCCTTCAACAAGTTCAAAACCCATATCGTACAGTAAGTTATAAAGGGTCCCGAAATGAAAAATTGTGGAACATTTCAAACAACACTCCCCCCCCCCCCCCCCCAAAAAAAAACAAAACAAAACCCAACGGCTTGATTTACGTACAACGTAATAAAGATAAATTAAAAATGACAGACAGATGTTAGCCATTCCGCTTGTTTACATGACATCATCGTTACGTCATAAAAGTGGCTAAATGACGTCATGAAAAAAAATTGAAATGAAAGAACATTGACAAAGCATCATTATATTATGCTCTCATATCTGAAATCAATGTTTCTTTTTTAACCTTAACCATCGGTCATATCGGCCCATTGGCAGTTAAAGAACACCTTAATCGGCCTTCTGGTAGTTAAAAGCAACGTCAATCGGCCCATTGGCAGTTAAAGGTAAATTCAATCGGCCCGTTGGCAGTATAAGGGTTTAAAACGCCCGGTGTTTACATTTGACGCCGGAAGCATACATATGACGTCACCTTGTTTAGTTGCAAAAGACAAACATCATTTGACGGAATTTTGGTTTTATGACATTTTACATCGAAATAATAACTGAAATGGACCGATTTGTTTATTTTGCATCTGCAAAAACACACAAAAGGCAAAGGAACAGCGCTTTTATTTCTGTTCTTTGTCTCAAACACACAGATAGGCCTTCAACACGAAGCAAAAAAAAAACTCGCATTATGTCCTCATAATAATCATTGAATTACAAAATAAAAAATTCACAGGATGGAAAGAATTTTATCCCTATACAGATTTTCCCCTACTATGAATAGGCTTAAGTAGATTTTTTAAAATTAATTTTGCGTTCTAAAACAACTAAAAAAACAATTTTTTGTACAATGTCTGCTTTTCACCAAAAAATCACCATTTGCATGATAGTAAAAGAGGGACGAAAGATACCAGAGGGACAGTCAAACTCATAGATCGAAAACAAACTGACAACGCCATGGCCAAAAATAAAAAGACAAACAGACAAATAATAGTACAGATGACACAACATAGAAAACTAAGGACTAAGCAACACGAACCCCACCAAAAACTGGGGGTGATCTCAGGTGCTCCGGAAGGGTAAGCAGATCCTGCTCCACATGTGGCACCCGTCGTGTTGCATATGTTATTACAAATCCGGTAAATAGTCTAATTCGGTAAGTCACATTCGTGAAAAGGGAAGGGTATTGTAGTTACGACATAAGGAACATATCCGATATCATCTGTGAAACGGTTATTCCAGAACTAACTATAAAAATCCAATTTCTTCAATCCGTCCTATCGTGATCGGATATGTAAAATGATGTGTTTCTTAAATGAATGATAAACTAAATGATCATTTCATCTTTTTTGTGATTTTTAAAATTGACTGCAAATATTAAAATAACGGCCAATATATATTTTTACGATGGAAGTCCAGAAAGACTTTTTCAATGTATTTTTATCATTATGTATTCAGTTGCAAATAAATAATGGAATACATTTCATCTATGAATATTATTTTGAGCATCCACAGTATTGCATTTGAAATTGGAATATAAGGTACATGTAATTACATGTTTTAAGAACGTATAAGATGTATTCGATGGAGTGGTCATGTGTTACCTTTTGATCCTTATTTTTCCTTCAAAAACTAAATAAAGTATGGTTGAGCTACTTTTATGTATGAATATACTTGTATTTGCTTTCGCTAGACATTACTATATTAAGGCAGCTTTTTCATCACGTATTGCTTATTGTCTTTGTGATAACAATACTTCCCCACAGGAAAAGCATCGGATATTTTGTTACATACACGTACATGTAAGAACGTGATCGGATATGTTTATTTATTGTTTAACATTTTATGTACGATGTATTTAGGTGTATGAAACTATTGTCTATATGTTTGGCCAAATAAACATAGAAGTTTCACCACCCATTTTCTTCAATCCGTCCTATCGTGGATGCGTAACGACCATTGAAGAAAGGTGTAGCGCCAATTTCCCCTTAATTTCTTGCACTTGCATTGTCAACATCCGAAAGATGTTATAACCATGTATTATATTGACAATATAACTCTTCCATATTATAATCTACTGGAAAAACTCTACAGAAGAGACCAAATGATGTAGAAGTAAGCATCTATACGTCACCGTATGGCCTTCGACATGAGCAAAACCTATACAACATAGCAAGCTATATATAGAGACCTGATTTATATAAAAAACAATAAACGAAAAACAAATACTATATTCAGGAACGAACTATAACTGAACTACATTTGTCAAGTTTGCGGTCGTCTATCCCGCCCCCAAATAAGGGACAGTGGTGTAACAGCACAAAATAAGGAACTAACTATGAAAATCCAATAAAAGGCAATCATACCATATCTTCTTTATAACATCGACAAGGTTTCCCAGAATGTATCGAAATTAACAGGCTCGAAAAACAACATCACTGTAAAAATTAGGATGTGCTATCCCGTTTGTTTCTAAAGGTACAGCCAAACTTCCAATGAAACTAAATCCAGACCATTATATTTTTACAAGACAATTTTTGTTTAACCTTAAAACCTCAGTCATATTTGACCTGCGAAAGAAAACTTTTCGGTTATGCACGCCTTATCAAAAAGACCGTTTAGGTGCATGTGAACCTTTCGGCTAAAATGTCTCTGTTTACAACTCAAGAGTAAATCTAAGTACCTAAAAATCTGTGCATCTGGAAAAGTTTAAAGGCATAGCATGACCTAAATAAATAAAATTCAAATGCATTTTATGTTTTAGAAAATTAAAACTTAACTGGATTTCGACATGGAATATCAAGGTGACGTAAGCTGTGTTACTGAGTGGACCATATCAAGTCAAACTTGAGTATTTGTTAATTTTATCATCAGCAGGGACAAGAAAAAAAAAGTGCACAGCAAAATCCAGTTAAGTTTTTAATTTTCTAAAACATAAAATGCATTTGAATTTTAGTTATCTAGGCCATGCTATACTTTTCCAGATGCACAGGTTTTTTTTTATATTCGGAGTAAATTTTGAGGTGTAAACACAGCTATTTTAGCCGAAAGGTCCACATGAACCGTAAGTAATTTTAGAACGAACTGGGTTCCGGTAGCAATATTAAAATTTTAAAGTTGTACATGTTGTATGTCAGCGTCTTGATATACGTTCTTTTAATTGACAAAGTTGAGGCGTGTTGTGTCCTTGACACGTATATCAGTATATATATGGCGTATAAAGCAGCAGTCCTCACAGGGGACTTTGATAGCCTGTTTTTTTCAAGGTAAGCAGCACTTGTTTATTATCATTTGTAGATTTTGTGATTGACAAATGCAAGTGTACTTTAAATAAGCTAAATTAAGGTCGTCATAAAAAAAGTTTTTAAAATGTAGATAATGGTAAATAAAACACTTTTATTATCTTCTGCAAAACCAGTTATTAAAACATGTAAAATTCAGAAGTACGTGAACATTGATTTTTTTTAAATTATAATGAATCAGTGATATTGATGATAAATTAAACTTTAAAGAAATAATGAAACAAGAAACATTATTCAATAACATTTGTGTGTAAACATTTTTCTTGAATTTTAAATTTAAATTATTTCCTCTTACAAAACATTTCTCTAATTCTACATCGATTTGAACCAATTCTGACTTGTCTTTTCCCGCGTCCGAAGCGCTTAGTGGATTTACGTTTATGAGGGACACTCAATTCAAAACATTGGAAAGCTTAGAATGTATAAATACATAGAAATGTTAGGACCTACATGTATATGACAAAAAGGGACCTAAAATGTATAGCCAAATTCATCTAAGGTCAACTTTGATGAATGTCATACTCAACGGGATGGCGTGGTAAAATCTCTCTTCCCCTTCATATATGTGTTATACTATAATAAACAATGGAAAGAGGATACAAAGTTGCCAACAGAGTGTGAATATAAAACAAATGAGATAAGTTTCGAAGTTTCACGTGTAGTATGACTTTTTCAAGTTAAAGACACATTCATACCTTGTTCCTTTTTTGACCGGCACTTTTCAAAAGTTTAGAATATTTTTATAGTTTACCTTTTTGACACGGTGATTATTCAAAAAGATACATTTTAAGCATTTTAATGTTTTTATTGCAGGATTAATATAAACAACTTGACGAATAATGATGATGAATGTATTTTGGATTTCTGTTTTGACTGTTATAGTACTGGTCTCCAGTAAGTTTGATATTAGTGAATTGAAATTGCATGTATCTTTTAAAAATATGATAGGATTCAAAATCAATTTTAATTTTTTACTTGACTTTAATCGTTTATAACGATTACTATTCCGAAATGGTAACACACATACACAGATAGGTTATGTAGGCTTGAATAAAAAGAGATACACATGAGTTTACGTCGATGAGACAATACTCCAAAAGCATTAAAAAAAAAAGAAAAGGCACATCGAAGTCATCATTCCGTCTTAACTACTTATTAATAATCTCCCTATTCATATTTAAATTTGTATTCGCCAAATATATCTTGGAAATTCCTCGTCATGCTTTTGTTAGTTGTCATATGTGACCATTGTGTTTGATTTTCGGATTGTATACTTTCTTAAAAATTATGATTTTTTTCTTCCTACAGAATCTACTTGCCTCATTGCATTTTCTTCCTACATGAGCGAAAACAAAGCGATCTCACAAAGTAATTCTGTTGTTGATGGAACAACCATGATCTTTGATAAAGTAGAAATAAATTCAGGGTCAGATTACAGCGTCGTCACAGGAAAATTTACTGCTCCTTCCTCCGGTATTTATGCATTCACTTGGACCATCTGCGTAGATTCACGTTATAAACACCCTGCTGGAGAATATAACTACGGGGAATATGGTACAGAACTAATGATGGGCAGCACAAAAATCGGTGTTTTACATACAGACACAGAGAAACAATACGACGACGCATGCTCTACAGGATTTGTCATCAAATATATATCATCGGGCAACCAAGTTTACGTCAGAAATAACTACGCTCACCAAGGTCGACTACTTAGCAAGGAGAGTCAGACCAGAACAACGTTCTCCGGATGGAAAATGCAATAAAAGGCAAATCCAACGGAACAAATTTTGCCAGATCTAAAATGTAATATTCAAAATAAAATTTGAAGACAATGTTTTATTTTATTTTTTTTTTAGTAAAAGAATAGAAAACATTTTAAGTATCAGATCTTTGCACAACATAAAAAACTAGAGAATGAGCAACACGAACCACACCAAAAACCCGGGTCGATCTTTTGTGATCCGGAAGGGTAAGCAGACTCTATCATACTCCACCCTTAGATGTTTGTGATAAGTTGGTCAAGGTAAACGCTTGTTGCCTTTCTAGTCATTTTTACTTCTTTGAATTTCAAAGATTTTTAATCATTTATCGGAATGCTGTCCAGACATACTTATTACATTATACCAGGTTGGTAAACATGTATTTCTGGTTAGACAATTCACATAGTGCATGTCCATAAAACGGTAATTTTAGTAAGTATAAAACACATGGTTCTATTTGATTAATGTTAAGGCTATATATTATTCTAAAGTAGTTTATATATATATACTAAGATAAAAGCAATAATACGAACTAGAGAATATAAGGGAAACGCATATATTTCAAAGCATACGGTTATTACAAATTTGCCAAATTAGACTAAAAAAATGCTGGAATATCGAAATTGTCGTGCTAAGTAACGATTCTTTGGTCATAGTTGAACACTTGTTGTTGTCAATATTGTCCACGACTGCTGTTGTAAAACCACCAAGATTCGTGTGAAGACCACATATTCAATGTTGAATATGTATGGATGGAATCTTCTAGTACTGTAGATAAATGGATAATTGGATGATACAAAAACGTCACGCGTAAACAACAGATTTTGATAATAAGTATCTGCTTTCCTGGTCCTATCATCAAGTAAAATGGTAATATACATTAAGAGATGGTTTAAGTTCAGTTTAATGTAAAGTTAAAGAATATCAAAATAGAAGTAATTTCGAAATGGAAAGCGTCATATTTGCCTCAATGCAATAACTCGACTGCATCTGAATATTTGGCTTAGCAAACGATTATCAACTAAGTTTTTAATGTCTGATCATGAGGAAAAGACTTGCCTACATCATGTCTTTTTGAACTACCTATATGTGCATTTTTTCAAATATCGTTGTCATACAAGCATATAGTTGCGATTGCGTGTTTAATTGCCACACTTAAATAATCATTAAACACATGAACCAAGCACCTGCTTTGTTAATGACATGGCAAGCCTGATATTACTACATTTTTCTCTTCCAGTTCGTTGTATACTGCAAGAATAGAACCGTGAATACGATTTTCTATACTTTCCCTAACGATTCTTTTGATGGTTGGCTTTAGTGCATAAATGTGACATACTCTTGGTATTAAAGGTCACATAGTTTTACTGAATGTATGTTTAAACAAAACACTTAGTAACCTTAAATAAGGGATATTTATCGATTGTGATATCTTATTGACCTATATGTTGATTTTAATAGTTTATGGCGGTCATCTTGGAAAAAACCGCCATATAGAAATTGCAAGGTGGGTCCATAGCTAATAGGGTTTGAAACACAATGAACTATTACCATGCCACATTTGGTGCGTTTATCATCAAACCTGAAATTTTGTGACCGATCTGCAAGACTAGTATACGTATTTAACGCATAGCTAGGGCAAGATTACATTTCCATTAAAGAGGCTAGGTTTTAGTAGTTGGATCGACCGTAATCAAAGGAAGTGAATAGACTGCCACTTTAGAAAGTGTGTGTATGTTGTACATATTTGTTTGTTTTTATAGTGATTAAGATTATAACACAATGTTGACTGCTGTACCCCTATTTTTGACATTTTTACCTATTATGTCTGTTTGTTTTGTATACACATTCTTGTCAATATAATGGAATTTTATGCTACTGTCATACAAGTGAGAGGTTTAGCTAGCTATAAAACCAGGTTTAATCCACCATTTTCTACATAAGGAAATGGATGTACCAAGTCAGGAAGATGACTTGTTTTCCATTCGTTTGATGTGTTAGTGCTTTTGATTTTGCCATTTGATAAGGGACGTTCCATTTTGAATTTTCCTTTGAGTTCGGTATTTTTGTTATTTAACTTTTTTGCAGAGAGCTTACATTTTGCCTTAAAATGTAAATCAACAGACCCAATAGAATATTAGAATGCAGAAACAAGAAAAATGAAACTTAACTTTTGTCTTAGAAAATGTATCTGTGTTTTTGGTCAGCAATACTGAAAGGTACATTAGTGTAAGAAGCTTTATTCTGTTCGAATGCATAAGACCGCGACCTAAACCCAGATTTGTGCTGTACAAATGCTTCATAAACTGGATATGTTGTGTTACATCATTCTGTTATTACGTAATTTAAAAAAAAAATATTATGGTATTGGATTTGTTTTGTAAGTTTTAGATATTGTACATTTAAATAATTTTGCAGTTACGTATGTACAGTAATAATAAAATTAATACTAGGGTACTACGTTTCAGAAAAAAGTTTACTATTTCATGATTTGAAAAACACCATTCGTTGTGCATTGTACAGTAAATAATTGAAACATTAGTATTATTTAAGTGTGTCATCATTGTAGTCAATGGCATGGAATTACAAAATAATGTAATTCACAAGAAGGAAAGCATTATATCCCTTTACATAATTGTGCTAGTGCAGACCATTCCCCATGAATAGACTGAAGTAGAAATTTTATTTCATTTTGCGTTTTAAAACAACTATCAAAAATAACTATTGTTCATTGTCTGCTTTCCACCCATAAATCACCATTTGCATGATAGTAAGATGGAGTGGTTCTTAAATAAACTAAATGATTAATTCGTCTTGATGGGGACTTTTAAAATTAACTGCAAATATTAAAAGAACGGCCAATATATGTTTTCTTTTAATAAACGTTTACGATGGAAGTCCTGACAAGACTTTTCAATGTATTTTAATTATTATGTATTCAGTTGAAAATATAAAATGAAATACATTTCATCTATGACTATTATTTTGAGCATGCACAGTATTGCATTAGAAATTGGAATATAAGTTACTTGTAGTACATGTTTTAAGAACATATAAGGTGTATTCGACAGAGTGCTTATGCAATACCTTATATTTCCTGCAAAAACAAAATAAATTATGGTTGAGCTACATTTATGTGTAAATGTACTTATATTTCGATAGACATTACTATGTCAAGACATCATTTTCAACACGTATTACTTATTGTCCTTGTGAAAACATTAATTTCCCACAGGAAAAATCATCGGATATTTTGTTACATACACGTACATGTAAGAACGTGATCGGATATATTTATTTATTGTTTAACATTTTTTTTGAACGATGTATTTAGGTGTATGGCACTATTGCCAATATGTTTGGCCTAATAAACAGAGAAATTTCACCACTCATTTTCTTCAATCTGAAGACACATTTTCCCGTTTCATCGTGGATGCGTAACGACCAATAAACAAAGATAAAGCGCCAATTTCCTCTAATTTCTTGTGCTTGCATAGTCAAAATCCGAAAAATGTTACAACTATGTATTTTATTGACAATATAACACTTCCATGTTGTTATGTACTGGAAAAAATCCACAGAAGAGACCAAATGATTTAGAAGTAAGCAAATATTGATCTACGTACGGCAATCAAGATTGAGCAAAATCTATTCAAAATAGCAAAGTATAAAAGGCTCTAAAGTGACAAATCTAAATCAATTCAAACGTAAAACTAGCGGCCTGATTTATGTACAAAACAATAAACGAAAAATAAATACTATATACAGGAACGAACCCAAACAAAGGACAGTGGTGTAACCACACAAAATAAGAAATTACTAAAACATCAGTTAAAGGGAGCTGTAAAAAATTGATGAGATCGATATAAAGCACAATAACAACAACAATAACAAAAAAAAAAAAAAACACAATAAAGACACAAAGAACAGATTTGAAAGTGTTCACAGTTACTGAAAGCTAGTTCAATGCAAATAACAACGAATAATGTCTAAAGGGCACTCATACTATATCTTCTTTATAGAATCGACAAGTTTTCCCAGAATGTAACTAAATCTAAGGGCTCAAAAACAACATCACGGTAAAAATTAGGAAGTGCTTTCCCGTTTGTAACAAGTTTTCTACAGGTACAGGCAAACTTCCAAATAAACCAAATCCAGTCTATTATATTTTTACTAGACAATTTTTGTTTAATCTTAAAATCTTAGTCATATTTGACCTGCGAATGAAAAATATTCTGTGATGCACGCCTCATTAAAAAGACCGTTGAGATGCATGTGGACCTTTCGGCTAAATTGATTGTGTTTACATATAAAAAGTAAATCTTAGTACCGAAAAATCTGTGCGTCTGGAAAAGTTTGAAGTTATAGCAGGACCTAGATGAATAGTAATTTTGGAACGAACTTGGTTCCGGAAGCAATATTAAAATTTTAAAGTTGTTTATTAGCGTCTTGATATACGTTATTTCAATTGACAAAGTTGATGCGTGTTGTGTCCTTGACACGTATCGCAGTATATATATGGCGTATAAGGCAGCAGTCCTCACAGGGGACTTTGATAGCCTGTTTTTACTCAAGGTAAGAAACACTTGTTTGTTATCATTTTGTAGATTTTGTGATTGACAAATTTAGTGTACTTTAAATAAGCTAGATTAAGGTCGTCATAAAAACAAAAGTTTTTAAAATGTAGATAATGATAAAAAAATACGTTTTTTTATCATGATTATCTTCTGCAAAAACAATTATAAAAATTCAGAAGCACGTTAACATTAATTTTCATAAATTATAGTTAATCAGTGATATCGATAATAAAGAATAAATTATAAAGAAGTAATGAAATAAGAAACATTATTTAAAAATATGTTTGTGTAAAATTTCTCTAATTCTACATCCATTTAAACCGATTTTGACCAGTCTTTTCCTGCGTCAGAAGCGCTTATTAGATTTACGTTTATGAGGAACACTGAATTCAAAACATTTGAAAGCTATGAATGTATAAATACGTAGAAATTTAGAAGTTACATGTATATGACCAATAGGGACCTAAAATGTATATCCGAATTCATCTAAGGTCA